ACCGCTTAGAGAGGCCTGAAAGGCCTATGAAGCGGTATATAAGTCTACTGCTATTGCTATTGCTATTATTCTCAATGCTGGTGGTGGTGGGCTCTGATAGCCTTGGTGTAACTTCCTGTCTGCCTGTTGCTTTTCAGGTGGTGGATGATAATGAGGAAAAAGAAGTGAAGTCAACCTGAATCAGGGAAGAGCCCCGGACTGTGGGCAGAAATTATGTGCCATGGTGGGTTTGTCTACATTGGCCCAAATGCAGTTTCTTTATTGGGCCAATTCTGGTTTTGTTTCACTGTGTAAGAAAACAAGCAAATAGGAAGAGTGTGGCCCGTCTTTGCTTTACATCAGGGTCTCCAACCTTGGCAACTTTAAGCCTGGTGGACTTCAACTCTGAGAATTCCCCAGCCAGCAAAGCATGGCAAAGTTGCCAAGGTTGGAGACCCCCTGCTTTACATGAACAAAAAGAAGAAAGCACACAGAATAGGCATGTTCCCAACAGTTTCTAAAATACATGCTTCCTCCCTTGGATTCAAATATTTTCTGAAGTATCTCCAATTATCTTCCTGAATATCACTTATCTATTTATTTGGCAGGCTCTCTCAATTGCTGGAGATGATTTGGTCATGGAGGAATTCCTTTAAATAAAAACCTTTTCTCCAGCTACTTAGATTCCAAAAATTTTTTTTTAATTGCGCTCTTCTCAGGAGGCTTAAATTTGTAGTTTTCCTTTTTTTTAAAAAAAATGCCCATGGGTTTAATGAAATGTCCATAATGCCACTGTCATCTACCTTATTTGCATAGAAACTATCTGATAATACTTTGTTCCAAAATTCAGCAGACTTCACTATCCTTCTTGGTGATCTCAACGGAGCCAAACGTTCTTTTTACAGTCGGACTAGATTTTTTTTTTCCCCTTGGAGCCTGAGCACACTTACTGAGCACACTGCTTTGGATGCAGAATGATGATCTCACGTGTGAAGTTGAACTTGTCCAGAAAAACGTCTTGAATCTGTGGTGCAAATGAATCCATTTGCAAGTGCTGCTTGGTTGCTGCTGAGGTGTTCATAGATGCTGCGATTGTAAGGAAATAATTGAAGGGTGTCGTGGGTCCAGTAAAGTCCATCAAGTGCAGTTTTGGAGGAACACGTCAACCGAGGAGCAGCTAGGGGTCTCTTTAAAGATGAGACCCTTTCTGCAGGACACTATAAAAATGGCTCAGCCTGAGGGGGACAGGTGTGTAGCTTTTGAGGAGGGGCCTTCCCTTCCTTCTTCAGAGCCATCCTCAAAGACAGCAAGAAGTCTTGGGGAATGGTGGGAGCCATTGAGGAGATAGGCTGACACATCCGTTGCTCAATTAGGGCTTTGAAAGAGAGACAGCAAGGTTTTATGTGCTTCTTCCACCTGTTTCTGGAAAATAAAAGGACAATATTGCTCAAACCTGGGGTGAAGTAGCTCTTTTCCTTGCAAAGCCTAGCAGCTGAGACATGCCCCTCCTTATAAGATGACATTCCATTGAGTCCTGGAAATTTGAGACGGCTGATTTCAAAGCTTTAAAATCAGTTTAAAGTAAAGCAATTGTGAATGTGGCCATTCTAGAACTTTGCCTGTGCATTGTGAATAAAGACGCTTTGTGGCTCAAACTTGTGCTGCCTTTTCATGGCACGAGTGCCATCCTTTACTTGCGCCGTAGGATGGAGTACTGTACAATCTACAAATTAAAAGACTGCTGGCATTGGGTTAACTGGGATGTGGCCCTCTGTGTGGGTAAAATTGGTTGCAAATGCGAAGACTGGCCACAAGTCTGTTTTTTCAGTGGTGTACAGCCGAACAGTTGCTGGAAGATTGGTTCGAAGTCCACCGGCTGTAATGACACAAATGGTACCACAGTTCTCAGAGTTCCAAATAACATCCACAAGTAAATCAGAGTCCGAGGCAAAGGATTGCTCAAAGTTCCCATTTATTAAGGGAGCCATCTTGGCACATCTGGGAAAACCCGAATCTGAAAGCTTCCCGGTTTCCCCTATCCAGTTGAAAGTTTAAGACTTGCCTCCTTACCCACTAGCCCATCCCATGGTCCAATTTCCCTCTGCCATGCTGGCAGCTTCCACCCATCCAGCTTTCTAGAAAGAATGTTGTTATGGCTACATATCATCTCATTCCTACAATCCCCCCTCCCATTTTCCCACAATAGAAAATGCATAGCAGAATAATAGAAAGTGGGGCAGGCCAAAGGTCCAAAGGAAAATATGGTTGCAGGCCTGACAACAGTATCTTCGTGGCCTGGGACAGGTATTCAAAGAAGCTGAGGGGTGTGTGGGGGGGGGGGGATCCCTTCTTGTCTGGGATGGGATCTGGCTTATTTTTTTAGCCACCTTGAATCTCTTCTCTAGGAGGCTTTTGGAGAGAAAATAGCTCTTCCCTTAAACATCTCTGCTTCTGCCAAAGCCACATTATATCCCACGTGGTACAATCAGTAAATGAAGCCTTTGTGATGGCAGGAAAATAATAATTCAACATTCTCCAAGAGGCCTGGATTGCCACAGCGTTTTCTGGAAGGTGGATAGCTGAAGCCGGCCAAAGCCAGCTTGGGCTCCACGTGTCAAACATTTGGAAAATGGCTAATTTGATTTATGCTGGCATATTACTGCCTTTCCCCCCTGTCCCAACAAGGGAAACAATTCTTTACACATTTATTTTTTGTTAAAAAATATCTTTGTCTGTCTGTCTGTCTGTCTGTCTGTCTGTCTGTCTG